TTCCTTCACGGGATCGCCTTCGGGAATAGCGGATGTCGACAGCATTCTCTGTTCCGCGTTGAACGGAGAGGAGACATTTCGCCATTCGGACGTGTTCCGAAAGGTGAAATGTCTCCATGTTGACGACATCATCTTTGACGCACTGGGAGGGGAGGAATGTTTCGATCATTCCTCCCTTTTCCAACGAGTGGGATCCTCTCGTTCGGTGTGGGCAAAGATGGAAAGGAAAAAGCGTCGCTTCGTAAGAGATGCGAACGACTTTTTCCTTTGCTATTTTTTCTGAAGGATATTACTAACCTAGGATAAGAAGGCAAGAGGTTTTTTTATTTTTTTCCTCTTGTCATAATAACATTCAAACTAAAACCTTAAATTTAATTTGCTAATCTAGATGTAAGAAGACAAGGGGTTTTTATTTTTTTCCCCTTGTCGTACTCACACTAGTTTAGTAATTCACATCCACGCACGTAAACAACAACATCCCTCACGCTGAAACACACAGTTCGAACAACGACACATTCGTCCCATCCAATCACCAATCATTCCACTCACGTGCATTATAAACGACACCGTTTCACAACACGAACACGCTTCCCTAAATCCAACCTCTGGGTCCACGTCCCGGGAAGCGGTAACAAAGAGGCTCTGGTAACAATTTACTTTTGATATTAAAATCTGAATTTGAATTGTTATAACGAAATCATTTACTTGTATCCAAATGAGTTTACTGAACATATATATAAGTTATATACAGTGTCCTTCCTGTAGTAACCAATTCTAATCGGTCTAAAATGTATCCAACAGATTATCGGGGATACTTTTTCTCTGTATAGTGACCAACCACTGTTAGATCTGGTTTTTCTGAAATGTAAGCTGTTAAAGTGATCTCTTTATAGAAAAACGCTGGCAGATTGTGGATTTTTGGGTTACTGGCGACCGACGTGGCCAGGGTCGGTTCTGGTAAATGCGCAGTGCAATTTAAAAATTGAAATTCAAATATAATTTTATATTATTTTAATCTGTTAACGTCTTATGATTAAGTTTAAGGTCACACTTACATAACTCATTGTGAATGGTTGCATTAAATAACATAGGTATTATTGTTTGATTTTCATTGCAAATGGGCCTTTATTCTCTTTATTAATACTTACACCATTGTTTTAATTGTTGACAGAACCCAAAGTTAACCAGCGATTTATTGTTGAGCTGCAATTTTTAATCTCCTTTAAGTTATTTGATAGGTGTAAAACAGTACTTAGATTTAGTCTTGTAGACTTCATAAAGATATGTTTTGAAAATTAAAGACATTATAATCAGTGCAGTGATGCCTTCTGATGTCACCGTTAACAAGTAAAGGTTATATGAGATTGAACAGAAAGTTTTAATGGCTGTGGTTATCTGAAATTAATGTGTGTTTTAATTATAACAGTTGTGAATTTTAATACTTCATTCTTGCTGATGTGAGATGTTGTTCTTTGTTTTAGAATGTTTAGTTTAAGTTAAATATTACTAGGTTAAAAGTAAATGTTAAGTGGTGTTCCTACCTTTCTATATTTTGTCTTTGTTTTCATGTATCTAAACTCAGTTCTACAGACTAAGGAAGGCCAGACGGATGACAGTGGGAATATATAGGTCTACGGTTTTTTCAAATTGCAGCCCAATTTAAATAAACAGAAATGCGCACCAACGTTGTTAATTTAAATAAATTTTCATATACAGTACACATGTATGTAATATATTTATATACCAAATAAGAAAAATGTCATTTTAATTTGCAGCTTCTATTCTATGGCAGTGCAGAAATATAACTTTGAACAATGGCGCCTATTATCAACGGGGAGGCTTGATTTGAATAAAATTAAAATTAATATATATCAAATATTTTAATGGATTTTTTTTATTTACCCGCCTACACGTGTAACTATCATAAATCGTACTATTGATAGTAAACTCTCATGGGTTGGCTTAGGTTTTGAATTTACTCACAATCAGCATTGTTAGGGGCAGCCAAATATGTGTAGCACGCAGGTGGCTAACAGTCCAAAACATGCCCTGGTGGCATCGACAAGAAGAAATTCTACTTGCAGATCAACATCCGCCTCTCACATACTGTAGTATTTTCCATTATCAGAAATTGCTTCAATATTGTATTACAACAGAAACTAAATTCATTCCACATTTAATAAATGTTCTAAAATCCGAAACACGAGAAATAATTTCCTCGGCATAATGCCACGCTACAAACTATTAATTAATCATACTGTTTATCTCGGTTCCAAGGGTGGTCACCTTAAGCAGGTCCTACTGTATTTCTATTTTCACATAAAATTTCAAATTATATATCTGCAAAGACTTTAACTAAGTATGAGTTTAATAAACCTTAAATAGTTTATCCTGTTATTAATTTACAACCATAAATCTATGTGGCTTTTAAAAAAAAAAAAGAAGTTATTATTTATTTATTATTCATTAACAAATCCTGTATAATCCATGCACAAAAGTATATATTTATTAAATTTCCTGAACTTTATAAAATATTAATAAACTGGGGAAAAAAATGATTAATTGTTTTGTACTTTGTAAATTTTTTTGGTGAATGCTGGGATCCTGAAAATATTCTGCGCCTCTTTTCATAAGTTGTATTGAACATTACTTCTCTGCCTGCTGATGGCTAAAAAAACTAACAAGGCAGCAATAGAAGCAATTTCCCTGACATTCCATCACTTTTTCTCAACACTAATGAAAATTCCTGACTTTCCAGGTGTGTAGGAATGCTGTACAAAAATGAAAAAAAAATGTCAAACAGTCACTGGGTAATCCAGTAAATATATAAAGAAATTTGGTTATTTTTTAAAATTACTTTCGTATGTCTGTGCCAACATTTGATAAATTATTGATTCGTCTGTACAATACTTTACTTCAGTCGTGTGGATTGCGTGGCCTTTGATAGTTTGTCCACATAATTTTGTTTTTGTGTTTACTTCCTCGTATCATTACGCAATCATAATTAAGTTAATATAGGTGAACGGAACATTCAAACTAAACTTAGCTAGAATAAACTATAAATTACTAGTCTGCATATCATTAGCATATATTATTTTAGTACATTGTACTTGGCAGACTTAATTCCTGCAATTCTTGCGAAATTTCTGATAACCCGCATTCAGAAAAGATTGCTCATCACTGCTTTGGTTCCTCAAAAATGTCCCCTAGTTGGTCGTAGTAATGAGTGGCACTTTAACAACTTCTCAATGTTACTTTTGTCGAACTGGCAGGAATATAAAGTTCACGATTTTATTTTGAAACTGTTAACGTATCAAAATCATCAAGTATCTAAATCTCAGTAAAGATTTAAATTTTTAAATTTCTAAGCCCAATAAGTACAAAACACTGGTTCAAATTTTTGAAAGTTTAATTAATACAGCAGTTTGGTTTTTGTATATAAAAAAATTAAGTTAAAATATTTTTTTATTTATTGTTTTAATCAATGTTATATTAAATAAAATGCTAACTGCAATTCAACTGTAGAAGGCCAAGATTTCTATACAAACTCTTTTCATTTTCTGCATATTTCATCTGAAATTTTAAAAGATGTAATTAATAAAATAATCAAAATAAAAACATAAATGGCGAGAGAATTTCCTACCCGCTAACATCTATTGCTACTTGCAGAATTTAATTTGCTTCTAGTCGCATATAAATCCTTGTCATCCGGATGACTCTGGCCCACGTCGCCTTCCACCTTTTTCCCAGAACCAATTAAATTTTTGAACTAAAAAAACAAAACAAAATTTAATTAAAATATATTCATAAATGAAATGCATTCAAATAATTAGAATTTTGTTTCCTCACATTTTTCAGTTAAAGCTACTAGAATATTTTAAAATTAAATTAGACAAATTCTCACAGGAAAAATGCAAATTTGATTCTTTGCAATACATTTCTTTCATCAAGACATTAATGTGAATGATGAAAGAGATGAAAAAAATACTTTTCAGTGAAAAGTAATTAGAAAAAAATAATAATAACAACTTAATATCAATATATAAAGATGTAAAATACAGTACTCGTATAATTTTAGTAGACAAATGAAACTTTAGATATAATTGACATTTGTTATAAACAAAATAGATAAAATGAACAGTTTGCAGAGGTCGCCAACAGGTGGTCGACGGACCACTGATAGTCCAAGAGAAAATCTCGATGGTCCGTAGAGAAATTTAGACATTGATCAACTCAAGGTTATGCAAAGTATTACAAAAGATATGCAAAATGCTTGGTTGATTTTTCTCACTCATTGATTTTAGATTCGAATAAAAACCCAAGCATGAAATGACTGTTATCGATAAATAATGAATGTATATTGATTTATTGACAACAAGAAATAATGTAAGTGTGATTGTTGTCCTTCGTGGAAAAGAGCCAAGAATCCATAAACCTATTTTAAAACAAGCAGCAAACTTTCACACTAATTTGTTATAATTAAACAATTGAGTTTCATATTAATAAAGTAAAATGGAACTTTTACAATCATTATTCGTATCATATTAAAAAATTTATGGTGGTAGTCCATGGGATTCAAAATTGTGAGTTTAGTGATCTATGAGGTCAGAAAGGTTAGCAACTGCTGTAGTTTGTATTCACAACAAATTATGTTAATTGGAAATATTGCCTTAATATTTAAGGCCTTGTTCCCAATTATAGGCTTCAATCCTGCTTCTTATGTGGATGCTCAGATTCATCAGACTTTAATGAGAAATACGTTTACCCCATTCTTCAATCTAGAGATGAAGCAACAATGGCATTGTCTACTGTTTGTGAGTTGAACATATTCCTAAAGAATTATTTGTAGTAGTCTTCCAGTTGTAGTAACATCAATGTAAATAATGTGTGATGTCGGGTGTGATAAATGAAAGGTTCTCTGATATTTATGGAGAAGATTTGTTCATGGTATTCGTAGGTGCTTTACAAGAATAATGCTTTATAAGAGGATGCTATATCAAGGTTTGGCTCTATTTAAATTATTTGATAAAAGTAACTGCCATAAAATAAACGGTTCTATTTACTTAAAAAATATAAAATATCACAAATATACAAAAAACTTTGTTTTCGTTTTCCTTTTCCATTGTTTCAACCTACCAGTGGCAGTCCAAAAACAACTGTCGCTGGTATGTTGAAACGATGAAAAAGGAAATTGAAAACAAAGTTTTTTGTATATTCGTGACATTTTATATTTTTTAAATTGTAAATACCATTGGCCAAGTTTTTAAAGTTCTATTTATTTTTCATTAAGATTATTTTCTTATTTATTTTGCATTTGAACTTTTAAGTTGCTTGGTTGTCATATGCCTCAACTTTCTGAATTCAAAACTCATAGAAAGATTACAGAGAATATTTTCAAATACACTGCCATAGCAACTGTTATTTTTTAAAATCATGATTTTCGGGGGGGCGTGTCAGGACGTTGACGCTGCAAGTGACATTTTATTTTGAGAACTTTACATTTGGAATTTAAGTGAAAATTATTAGTTTGTTTAATTAAATCATTACTAAATAAGTGCAAACTAATATTATGTAATTTGAAGTTAACGAAGAAAAGTTATATTTCAAAAATAACATTATGCAAAGATCTCCAGTTAAGCGAGGAAGGCCTCCACTCATAAGATCGAGAACAGAGAACAATGAAGCCTATTCTGGTACTTCAAGCTCAAAACTCATTACGGATTATGGAATACAGTTGAACAGTAAATTGCAAGAAGAAATAAGTGAGTTTGATCAACAAACTTTATTAAGTTCAACAGGTGAGTCATCTAATGTTAAATCAAATTCGGTTACTAATTTGGCAAGTCATTTTGACACTTCTAATGCACTTTTATGGTCTAAAATATCTGAGTTAATAAATGACTCAAATGATAAACTGCTAGAACAAATGGTTTATATAAAAGAAGATATAGAAAATATACGCCACGAAATACGTGAGTTCAAGGAAAAACAGTTATACATAGAGAAGGAAATTAAAAATTTACAACAACAATTAGAAGAACAAAAAAGTGAAAATGAACTAATGCAATTCACAATAGATTCTTTAAATAACGATTATAATTATAAAAATATAATAGTATACAATTATCCTGTTGACAAATCTATATCAACATCAGAAGTATATAAGTTCATGACAGATGTACTTAATATTAAAGATATATTCCAATCCGATATAACGGAAACAAACTTATTAACAAAGAAACCCAACATAGTAGTAAGAATAATATTTAATAATAGGCAAACCCGTGATAAATTCTTCTATAATTTTATTCAAGAAAAACAACTAAGAAATACATCAAATGAATGGAAAGACATGCAAATGGCACCAGAATTAACTAAAAACTCAAGATTAAGAAGGAAAAAGTTACTCCCAATTTTCTATGAATGGCGAAAACAAAAAGATCAAGTGAAACTTCGTAACGATATATTAATGATAAACCAAGAAAAAATAACATATAGTTTAAAATCGTGTAAACTGGTTTATGTAAACAACTTTCATCCTTATAGTGTTCAAATAGATAGGAACAGCTGATACCAAGACAAACAAAAACATAATCAAATCAACAGCACTATAAAAAATAATCAAATGGTGTCCATAATAAATTGGAATGGTCAAGGAATAAAAAACAAAATGTCATCAATAGTTAGAATTTGCACTAAATATGAACCGGATATCTTAGCAATTACTGAAACTTGGGTTACTTCAAATCTATATTACAACAAAAAATTTTTCAATAATTATATAGTAGAGGCGATTCAAGCACAGAAACCAAGTGGTCCGGGCCGTCCTAGTGGAGGAGTATGTATTCTGATAAAAAAGAACTTTGGAAAAATAATTGATATAAAAAAATACAATAATTATATGATAATGCTCATTTCACCATTGAAGACTATCTTAGAAGATCAAATTAATAATTACATAACATTATTAATAGCATATATTCAGCCTGATGATTTAAATAACTTAAAAAGAAGTTTCAAAGCATTAGAAAGCTGGTTACACATTTCTCCACTNGAAGCAACAAAGTCTAAAACAAGTATCAAGAAATGAAATGAAAAAGGAACTTTTTGCATAGATGAAAGCAGTATACTTGTAGTGGATCTGGTAGCTATTTTAAGATGTCAAAGTAAATGGTGTGTGACCAGTAAATTCAATTTTCATTTATAAATTACATTTATGTTTTACTTAAAATGTTAAATAAATTTTTATTTCTCGTCAATATTTCTATAAGATATCATTTTAAATAAGCTTACAGCTTAATTTCATGAGGTAGAGTATCCTTTTGGAATTGAAGATGGAGTTCAATCTGATATGGAAAGTATACAAAAACAGCATAAAGTTTTCCTCTCTTTTTCGGACCTTTTAGAATTAAATAAGACCAATCTGAAATGAAAAATTGTATTAAGGCAAAGCCTTGTTACAGGTGTATTTTTTCTAATTATACATTAATATACATTTGTTATCTATCAATCGTTTGATATACATCGTCTTCAAAATTGTCAATTATATTACAATAACCGTTGAACAGTAAATTCTGTCATTAGTTATGTTTTAAATATTTTACTTCAAGTTACATAATCAGTAAAAAACAATTATTTAGTTTTATTTATTTACTAGCAGACCCCGCCACGCGTTGTTGTGGCTCAAAATGTATCTATTATGAATGTATAACGCTTCCCCCGTGGGGGTGGGAAATTTTTCGAAAAAATCCCTTAGTGTACATTCTCTCGATGTACCCTATTAAAACGCAATCAAAAACGCAAAAAACCGCATCTAAAATAGTATAAATAGAAGCAGAGTTCTTTACGGCAAGCCTTAATCCTGTCCATCTCCCAGGGGGGAATTGTTGAATAATTGATAACAATATCTGTAATTACAATAAATGTGTATACAATGAAAATATTCATAATAAACACAAATTAAAAACAAACAAAAAAAAAAATCTGTTGAGATATAAATTGCTCATATTTCAATTTAACTGACATATTTTATAGCTTTTTAAAAAATTAATAAAATAACTAGTGTAATAAAATCTTTCATATTTCATATAATAAAGCTGTTTACTATAAATATAGTAGAGTTATTTGCTATTAAGCATAAAAAGAAAGAAGAAACTTACCTCTAAGAAAAACCTATAAGAAATCACAAATATACAAAAATAAGTTCATTTAAAAATTAAGTTTTAGTTTAAAACATTTTCAATTTTATTAATACTGATAAGTGATGAAACATTCTAAAATAAATTTTAGTTTAACTAAAGCAATACAGTACAATCTTGGTAATCTATACATTTGTTAGTTCTACACAACCAGTAATTTGACATTAGTCAACTCTCAATTATTACTATAATTGCTGATAATTCCCACTACTTCAAACTCCATTTTCCACTAAACATGGCGTCAATTTTCCATGGTTGCTTCAATTTCCACTAAATTTATTGTGAATCCACCAACACCAATTATCAACAACAGCAGCTTGCTTGAATGACAAAATGGCAAAAAGACAACTAAAATTTATTTTAAAGGATCAACGATTAATTTCAGAACTCTAAACCACAGTAACATATGATCTATAAATATTTTTGATTAATACAATATACTAATATTGATTAATACAATATACTATTATGCAAATAATTTAATTTTAATTGGAAATTGTGTTTTTCTCTTTCCTCAGTATAACAAGTCCTAGTTCACAAGAATGTCCACACTGGATACAAGTATAATATAAGTAATTAAGGACAAGAAGCATATATCAAAACTGAATTCTCCTTATTTCCAATAAACTGACAATCTTTTTAATCTGATACTGTTCTTGTCCCAAATATGTCAGATTACCAAGATGGTACTGTATATGAAAATATTCTTATCTATCATGAGAGATGTTCATAGATTTTTAAGAATTTCATTTTACTTTACAACTTGTAAGTATAGTTGAAATGAAAGAAATTCAAGTTTTTATGTATTTGCATTTATTTAGATCAAAGTTTTAGTCAGTTCAAATTTAAAATTATTAAAAAATATTATAAATTAGCAGGGTTACCTCTACAACTCATCTTTCAATCGGTTCTACAGTCAAAAACCAAAATCATTCTCACTTATCCAAAAGNAAATAAACTTAAGTTAAACTATACAAGATAAAGTGCAAGGTTTTATATTACGGGGTATATCTCATTCATTATTTTAAAAGTATACTTTTAAACCCAAAATAAAATGACAATAAGATCGAAAAATTGGCTAACATGACTAATAGTCCATGTCACTCATAAACTGGCAAACTGAAACCCAGATCCAAGTAACAAAACTACACATATTATTAAATGGTACCTCGTACTTCAAACAGCTTAACTTTGATGCTAAATTTGACAAAAATTTACTTTGGAGTTTGAACAATGCTTCAAAGTACAATGGAGAAAGTATACTAAAAACATAAACACAATCTGTTGTGCATCCAAGCCATCTCCCGCTCGTGTTACGCTATATATTTTCAGTGCATTTTTCACTTTATTTTTGGTGTGTTTGGTTATATATATTGTGTATTATTCATTGATTTTTAACAATTTCTTCTTGCAACTTTTCTTTGTTGACAGCTTTTTGGGTGCCCCATACATTTTGTATCCTTCATTTCAAGACTTCCAAAACAGAGCTTTTTAAATCAATTTAATATGTAATTTTGGAGTATCTTCCCCATACACATTACAAATTTTTCTACTGTTTGTATGGCATTATATCCTTTCTGAAACCCATAAAGCATAATATGCCTGATATGCTTTTTATCTGAAGACATTTCAACTTGATTTTATTCAAATAAAATGTGAAGTAAAAAGTTAAAATAAGCTTCTAAACAAAGAATACAATCTCACGTGTGTTAAATTTCACAATTATTATAATTAAATCACACATCTATATTAAGTAATGACAGCTGTTAAAAATATGCAAAAATTTTCTGTTCAACCTAATATAACTTTTTCATATTAACTGTGACATCTGAGAAGTATATGGAAGCAACAAAGTCTAAGACAAGTATCAAGAAATGAAATGAAAAAGGAACTTTTTGCATAGATGAAAGCAGTATACTTGTAGTGGATCTGGTGGCTATTTTAAGATGTCAAAGTAAATGATGTGTGACCAGTAAATTCAATTTTCATTTTATTACTCAGTATTTACATATTTTATTTATTATTTTCATGTTTTAATTTGTTATTTTTTCCCTAAATTAATTTAATTTTTATCAAAATGAGTATTGCTTAGGATCTGTGAATGGATTAATTCATTTTCCATTATTTCTAAAGGGACAAAATTGATTTGGACTTCAAATGATTCAGAGTTCAAATGGCCTCGTGAAACGAATTAAATTTGAAGTACAAGGCACCACTGTACTTGACATAGGTTATTTCCATGTTACAGATATATTTACCGAGAAACTTTCCTCACGATTAAAAAGTCTAAATCCATAATACTGGACATCACTCACTTGTTCACCGACTTTGTCAAAAGAATCCATTGATGGTAATTTTGAAGTAACTTTTAAAGAAATTTCCTTCAACTTTTCACCTATAAAAATTTTATTAATAATGAATTACAATTTTGCTTAATATAAACATAATATTTAAATATACAATTCTACAATAAATTAAAGCTAATTTTTAATAATAAAGTTTAAAAATAATATATATTTTTCATTTTACTTCAGAACTGATTAATTTATTGACTAATTAGTTAACGATCGATCAGTTATATCCTCGTGTTGCGACCAACCACAGTTGTCTGATATGGCAAGCCCAACCTGCAATAGGAAGCATGCAACTGACTGGCATGTGATGAGAAATGGTCATTATTAAACAACGGCTGGAAGTAATCTAGTATCTCAATTCTTACGATAAATACTTTCAAGCTATATACTCGGTTTTCTAATTTTTCATTCTAATAAAAAGTTTGAACTGGATTTATGTTTGAAGAGCTTCCTTAATAAATGTTATTAATTATTAATGAAAAGACAGTTGTGGACTAACAGAACTAAATTACCACTGTCAAGAAATCTAGTTTGAACTCTACTTCTACTGGCTGTAGCTGAACCAACCAGGACCATGAATCATCAACAAATCTACCTTCTCATAATAAATTTCTGTAAAATTCCTTTTACTACTTTATCATCATCAGTTGATGTGAAGCTAAAATGAAATAAAGTTTGATAATGCTATATTTTGTTGTTTACTATAGTTTTTATTTTTTCCCCACCTACATGGCCCACAACAGTTCATACGAATTCACAAATCAAGATCCAAAAATCAAACAAATGTCTTGAAAATGAGTAGTTTATCTACAACCTAGTATTAAGTTGTATTATTTAATAGCACCTGAAAATGTTTTTAACTTTATAATTGTCTTCAGAGTTACAATGAATATGAAATCCATTAATACTTTCAAGAAAACATAAAGCTATTAAAAAACTCAATAAAGAAATAGGTTTTATTCAATGACTTTAAACACACAAAACTCAAAGCACTAAGCTTTTCTGGTTTGTTTTTTATGAATAAACAAAAACACATTCTGACAAACATTACAAACAATTCAAAAATTTAAAGTTAAATATATTATTATTTCTACAAACAAGTAGAGCATATCTAGATGTCCTCTGGAAATCTATCACTAATTTGTCCCATTAAAGAAAAACTTAAACGCACCTTTATATGCATAAATCTCTAAAAGACAATTATTTTGGAATAAAAAAAAAACATAAGTTTCTAAATGAACTTTTGATACATGTATCTGATGGAGTTTTTATGTTTAAACTAATGTGTGGTTCAAAAAATACTTTATTTTATTAACAAAATAATGATTTATAATTTGCATATTTCATCTTTACCTGCAACTTCAGTAATATCTTGACCTTTGTTTTCTTTAATCCATTTATATCCATTTTGACAAATTTCAGCAGCTTGCTTAGGATAACATATTGCTGAGGCTGCTGTCAATCCAGTGCTGGTATAGAAGACTTTTTTCATGATACCACCTTGGATTTAAAAATAAAAAAGTTTAATTTTCATAAATATAATTATAATATATGAGATATGAATCATCATTAAATACATTATTACCTCTTATCCCAAACAAAAATCCAATTAAGCCGCCAGATGTGATAGCTATGGCCCTCGGTAATGAATTATCTTTGTCTGTGATGTAATCATAACCCTCTATAAATATTAAAAAAATCAAATAAATATCCTGTTGTTAAAATAAGCAATGTTCTTTCAATTTTTGTAAGATATTTGCATTCTACATTATTTTATCAAGTCTCGCCAGGTAAAATTTGGTGCAAAGGGCAGATTGAAACATACTCTTAGAATAATCCATGATTTCCACGATCACAAGTCAGTGATATACCTCCATTTTAATGAAATAAACAAAACTTTTGCATTTTTCAGCAAATATTACTACAGAGAGAAACAAAACACCTTTTTTGCCGAGAAATAAACATAATTTTAAACAACAAACGTTTTCAGCCTAATTAATAGGCCATCTTCAGGTTGAAAACTAAAATGGAATGTAAATGTTCCATGAATAGAACATAAAAATTTAAATCAAAAATTTTTTACAAGAGAAAATAACGGAAGAATATTTAAAAATTAAAATAAAACACTAAAACAAAAATAACATAAATCTTCAATGTATTAATTCTGGTCGGAGCTTGTAGTATATTTCTTAACCAAATATTTCCATGCCGAAGGCAGGCTCTCGGAATCCCTCGCATTTAAACAGCCTTCTCTTATCTTACTTCTGTATATTTCTATTTTTTCTGCCGTCATTGCTAGAGTTGGGGAAGACAGAGGTTTGATGATTGTTGCCTCGTCCCATTTCACCTCAGATCCTTGTGCTTGCGCCATTTGTGACAAAACCGTTGAATTAGACGCTTTTCTTATGGCATATCTATGTTCCTTGANTATCAGAGCGGAGGAGAGAGCAGGGGTGTATAAGATTCCTTATGAAAACTTACAACTGGACGTTAAAAAAGATTATATCGGCGTCACCACCAGAAGCTTGGGAGTAAGGCTCAAGGAACATAGATATGCCATAAGAAAAGCGTCTAATTCAACGGTTTTGTCACAAATGGCGCAAGCACAAGGATCTGAGGTGAAATGGGACGAGGCAACAATCATCAAACCTCTGTCTTCCCCAACTCTAGCAATGACGGCAGAAAAAATAGAAATATACAGAAGTAAGATAAGAGAAGGCTGTTTAAATGCGAGGGATTCCGAGAGCCTACCTTTGGCATGGAAATATTTGGTTAAGAAATTTACTACAAACTCCGACCAGAATTAATACATTGAAGATTTATGTTATTTTTGTTTTATTGTTTTATTTTAATTTTTAAATATTCTTCCGTTATATTTTTTTTCTCTTGTAAAATTTTTGATTTAAATTTTTATGTTCTATTCATGGAACATTTACGTTCCATTTTAGTTTTCAACCTGAAGATGGCCTATTAATTAGGCTGAAAATGTTTGTTGTTTAAAATTATGTTTATTTCTAGGCAAAAAAAGGTGTTTTGTTTCTCTTTATTTAGTTGCTGAGCACTTTTGATATTATTAAAACAGAGATCAGAACTGTTATTTAATTAAAGCTACCATGATACTCAACACATGGTATTCTAACGTGTGATAGTATTTACTATTGAACACAAGACTGTGTTATTATTAAAACACTTGGCGTTTATCCACTTTATTCAGTTGATACGGGCACTTTTACATGTTTCGGGCGTATAGCCCCTCATCAGTCAACATTAAAAATGCAATGACACACGTACAGCACAAGAGTGTGATAGTATATTATCATTAAATGCTTATTTTGCATTTCTTTTCAGCAATTTTTTTTAGATAAAATCAAGAATAAATGCCAGTAGATAAGCTGAATATACTGCTTTAGGAATGATAGCACATTGTCATACAAACAGCAAAAAAAGAGTATTTTTTTTATAATGTTGAGTTGTAACTGCAAACTGAACTGCTTACAGTTCCAACTCCAAAAGAAGCTCTGCATTCTAAAAATTATTGCTTTGTATAGGACAGTGTTTTTCAACCTTCTTGAATACGCGACCCCTTTAAAAGTTAATTAAAAAATTTTGGTGACCCCATAGGGCCATATTTAAACTATATCAGTGGCTTTAAAAACTATGTATTTAATTTTCTTACTTTAAATATCAATCAAAAAACCAATTGTACTGTAAAATAAACAGGCACAGCCTTCTCACTGAAATTCTAGTTTTTTTTATTGTAGTGTACTACAAACACTTGTCTTTTTCTTTCACCCACGACCCCCTGTGTAAGGCTTTGCAACCCCCCTGAGGGTCGCGACCCACAGGTTGAATAACACTGGTATAGGATATGAATGATGTAATTTATCATAAGCTTTTAGAGCATAATAAAATCATAAGTTCTAATGTCTACTGCCAATAAATGTCTTTAAAAAAATGCACCATCTAGTTAAATGGAAGGAAATCATCTTTTACTAGGATAAAGCATGTCTTCATGTTCAGTTTAGTTCAACAAAGCAACAAAAATAAAACATTATTGATTCCTAATACTGACCATATTAATCGGATATCTGTTTAGATTTCAATTTCCATAGTCATTTTGTAATAATTATGGTGTAGATCCAGCAGACACTTATAAGTAATGATAAACTATTTTATAAATAAAATTTATTGAACTATTTGTCAATACATAATGCATTTCAACCTTTAATGGTGACCTTCAGTTGTGACAAATAATTAAATTAAAAACCAACTTATATAAAACTTTCAAATTAACAAGGTATTAAGTGTACAAAATAAAGCACACAGCTATAATAATTTAACAATTGGCACAATAGTGCAGTTATCTTATGTATATTTCTTAACGAACTTCATAGATGTAGACAAGAAATTTTAGAAAACTTGTTTCTAAGTTTTATTCAACTTCAATTTAGAATTTCAAATCTGTTTGACTATTAAATACATCTGGGATTTTCTTTGAAATAAAAAGTTGAGTATACAAAAGCATTAAAGAAGAGAGGAGACAATTGATTCTTTAATTTTGTTAAAATGCTACCACAAATCGAGAAAAACCTTTCACTGTCTGTTGATGTAAGTTCAATGGTTTTGAACACTTAGTAAAGTTTCTCTACATTTTCACTGCATTTGCATACCAACACTGACATTTTAATACCTTTTGCTTTGAAATTTACTTTTACTACTGTTTGAATATTAATTAAAATCTTTGTAACTTTGGTTCATTTTTTCTCAAACCTTTGTTCCCTAAAAATTTTCAAAAGTTTGAAGATTTGAAGGCTTCAATTGACATCCTATTTATGCCTACTAGGTTATCCCAACCTAAGTGTCTGCTGGATCTGAACCTGTACTTACAGTAGTGTGTCGTTTATCCGAAAGCCGATCAACCAAAACGTCAGTTAACTGAAAGTGTTCCAGTTGGCAAATTTAAATTTCCACTAGTGTTGGCACTAGTATTGGCACTACAATATTTGGCTATGTCTTGGGCTACTCCAATATTATTTTTGTTGGTATGCATGTTTTAGCTGGCATCACTGGCACGACCATATTGTATCGTTAAAAATTATTTCTTTATTCTGCACAAACAAAATAAACATATTGAAAAATATAAAAACAAAAAAATTATATTTCAGAAGTTAATCTAATATCAAAAATGTTCCGATTCATACATGTCGAGAGGGTATTTAAGGATGTACCAGTATTTGAACGAGGCTTTTTTTCCCATTGTGTGCTATATTCTAGGACCTTGCATCATGCGTGGTGTGTTTTGCTTCAGCTCGTCGGAGAATATAGCGCAAGCGGCTGACATCTCCAGATAAACCTAAGAAAAAGAAAGAGTTTTGTGTGGTGTTTTTCTGAAGACTGTGTGTCTGAACGTGTGTCATGCTGAATCAGAACATTTTTGATATTAGATTAACTTCTGAAATATAATTTTTTTTGTTTTTATTTTTTCAATATATTTATTTTGTTTGTACAAAATAAAGAAACAATTTTTAACGATACAATAGCCACGATTATTATTTAAAAAAATTTAAATTACGCTTAACATGGATGAAAATTCAATGCAAAGCGACACACAACAGAGAAAAATTTCAACATAAATAGGTTAATATATTTTTTTGTACATAATCGGTTATCCGAACAACCCCAGTCCCAAATTGATTCGGATAAACGACACTCTACTGTATTAGAAAGTGGCTGAGAAAATAGGAACCTAAATGAATACCTGATTAATAAGTCAAAATCAATAAAAGTCTAATCAGCCACCCAAGAAAAAGAATAATTTTTTTTTAAAATAAATTTTAAAAATATTTGATTTGGGAAATTTTAAATCGTTCACTATTCACCTGACTTAGTGCCTTTTGATTTTTATATATTCAGATCATTATATAAAACCATTTAAAAAAGTAAAAAATTTTAAAGTTTGAAAAATTGAAATGTGATATAAAATCGTTGTTTGAGTCAAAACAAAAAAAAATTTTATGTTGATGAAATCAATAAACTTGTAGAATATTGGAAGAAAGTAATTGCAAATTACATTGCTGACTGAATAAATATATTTATTTAGTACTCGATCAAACAAATGTGACCCCACTAAAACAAATTTTCAATTAATAATATATTTTTATTTTGTGTCATTCATAAAAATTATTTATGATAAGAATAAAAAAGATGAAAATGTTGCCGACACCTCTGATCAAGATCAACAAAAGAGCTCGGATGACAATACTTTGTAAGAAGAAAATGCCCTCGCTTAACTAAAATTAATATTAATTTATAATACAGTATTTTTAAGTTAGTTAATTGTTAATTGGATAAAAATTATCAATTGCTTTAATAAACATATTTCTCTTAGTAACGATAAAGAATAGTATACTTTTGTTAACTTTTGGAACCTAATCCTATTTGTATAGCGTGGATTCTCACATAAAACAACACTTTTTTGGAACATAACTAATGTATTATACAAAGGATACCTTTAATTATTTATTATAGAACATTAACTGAATAAATACAATTAATAAATAATTAGATGTATCAAGACTTACGCTTCGTTTGATTAAATACATTTTTACAATTCTCCTCCACTTTGTTTGTGACATCCTGAAAAATATGTTAAAATAAATAAATACCATTTAATACTTTTTGCCTTCTTATATAGGGTGATTCATATAGATCTGAAGTCAAATTTATTATTATAAATCTTAAAAGAACAAATGGAAAACGATGAGAGTTTCAGGAACTGCACCTCCACTTATGTTGAACCCATCACATCACAGTAAGTATTAGAAGTGGCCCTGCTTTTTGTCAGCATCGAAGCATTGCTGCATGCTGTTGATAATATGTCTCAATGTTACATCATCAATGTTTTTGGATCTCATTCCTAATGTTGTCCTCTAAGAAATCAATCATATGTGATTTGTTACAGTACATTTCCCAAGATAGCTCCACAAAAAGAAGTCTGGGCTGATAAGATCAACTGACCATGGGAGGTACAGATTTTTGGAGATGGTACAGTCCTCAAAAAGTTCTGGATTGTCGCCATTGACTCCTGTTATATGTGGCAAGTCACTTCACCTTGCTTGAAGTAATCCTGTGTCAGTTCCACACCATAAAGTTGTTCAAATTTTGTGAAAATCTGCACATATGCAATATAATGTTCAGTATTTCTGTTAGGAAAAAGGAACCAATGGATATGGCACACCAATTCCAGCACTTGATGTGTTCAACACAAGCTGAGGTACACTTCCTTTCAGTGGAAAATTTCATTGATTTCCATTCATTTGTTTAAGATTTATAATAAAAAAATTGGGTTTGGGCCTATACAAATTCCCTTGTATTATTTCATTAAGTCATTATTGATCAATATACAATTTTAACCAATTCACCATCACAAAATATCAGCACGGTGTGAGCGATATGATTACATGTATTTGTCCATAACAGATAATCCTGACTTTTAATTAAATCATCTCACATATATGAATGAGAAATAAGAAACAATGTCCAAAATCAGAAACCAAATTCCTTGTGGCATTAGAATGATATCTTACTGCATGACAAAATTGAATAACACAAATTTTTATAATAAATCAATTACTAATAATAAAATTTCCTTTTCTTTTAAAGTTGATCTCCACTTTATGACTGGTACAAATTCTCTATTATTACTATATAAAATGCCATATCCAAATTCCTCATTTTTATTGGCTATCTTTGTACAGTATTATATCATTAAAACTATATTTCCTGAAGTGTAATCCAATCTATAATAGTAAACAAGATAGTTCATTTAATAATTGTTCTCCAAAAACCAAACAGGTTATAAAAGTGGAAGTATACTGTATTTCACAAGTAAAAGAAGCCTATAAACTAACTTTTAAAGACATAAGAAAGATATAATATTTTATATGCAAAAAATAGAATACATCCATATTCAGGAATACTTAGAAGACTACCTTTTCTACATGATCTTTCTTCCTCTTGATCCTCCTCTTTTTTTTACTCCTTCCTATCCTTTTCAATTTGGATCATCTCCCAACCTTGTTTGCTTTTAACTGCTTCATAGATGTTGTGTTTTTGAGTTATCCTGCTTCTTCAAAGTGTTCTTAAAAAATCATTTCTACCTTTCTGCTGGCATAATTGTCCTTTAATTTCCAAAGCATCTTTCAATCGAAAGAAGTCAGTTTTTCAATTGAGGAGGTTTGAGTTTCTCCTAGTATAGAGGGACTGAGATTGTGTTTTCTCTTTTTCATTTCCTGATTATTGTTCATGACAATGTTTTCCTTTGGAGCAAAAGCAGAATCTTTTGTTCCATAGAAAAACATCATTGTAAACAATACTTAGAAGAACTAAACATTCCTGAAGATGAATGCGAATCCAAAAGTTCTTGATCTTAATTCTCTTATATTTTTTTAATGGTTTATTCTCCATTAAAGAAAATACAGATTGCACAAAAAGTTACTGTGCGATGAGAAATTTGTAACATTAAAATTATATGTACTGTATTGCATATGTGAACTATAAGTTATCAATTCTGTACTAGTTGACCACTTGGTATTGTGTCCACCTTACAGGTACAGTAGATCCCCCTATAAAACAGGTTCATATAGTTCAGATTCCTATATGACGGTGAAAAAATTGCAACCGTATTTGTATAAACACATTAAAAGAGACTTGTATAATTCAGTAAAACGTCATCACCGACTTGCGTCACAACAGGATTGGTCGAATCTAGACCAATAGCAGATATTGCACAAACAGTTGAGTTTAAACAAGCAGCGGACCTACTAAAAACCATTTATTATTTAACGGCCATAAAAATTATATTTATATTAATGATGTCTCTAAAGTTCAGCAAAGTTTTTGCAGAAAAATAATTTATCAGGAAGCACACGAGTGCCATTCGATGCACTGCTCCATGATGAAAACAAGCTTAAGCAATGGCGTAGTCGAATGGTGCACACTCAGTAAGTAATCCTACAATTTTTTATTTATAGCATAGTTTATATGGATTATTCCAAAAAAATTATATGTATTTTGGAAATTTTGAGTTGAATTAGTCTAGAATCAATTAATTTTATGGAAGAAAACCTTTCAAACAGCCATAGTCCGTAAACTGCATACGTGCCTTTTCACGATTGGCTCATGTATTTAAGGACTCGTAGAAAATGGATTTCATAAAAACCAGAACGTATCTACCGTGTTATAGGGGGTTGACTGAATTGTATACAATACTGTACATATAATTTTAATATCATTATAAATGTCTCACTGCATAGCAATATTTTAGACACTGTGTATATTGTTCATTTAATCACCATTTTATTTTACTTATATAAAATTTCTGGTATATTTATGTAATTTATACAAATTTTAATTTAAATTCATACATTAAATTTTAGTTTTGTGTATCATAATTTAACTTTTACCTGCATAGCATTCACATAAACAGTAACATTTTTTCTGACGTAAGAAATTCCATTCTCAAGAGATGACGGACTTCTCTTTACAACTTCGTATCCTTCTATGTCGTCCGTTGAAACGTAAACTGGTAACTGAGAGAAACAAAAACAAATTGTTTTGATTGCAAACAAATAAATTAATTTTCTGCTAGAATATTTTGCATACTTCATTTGCTTTGAGTAATTCTTTATTTTCATCGGAAACAGGTTCTTTTGCATAAACTATTACAGGAAATAGTAATTTTTGCAACATCTGTAAGAATTTTGAGATATATTAGTTTTTGAATTGTTAAAAAATTAATTAAACAATAGCAAAATAATATTTTAATATTCAAAAAGTAAAATACAACTCAAGAAAAAAAAATAAAATGTTAAAAATACATTGAAGAAATTAAACTGTCTTCACACTTGTCAGATGAATTAGTTTCTTCAATGTATTTTGAGTACATAAAATACTGCCATTTTAATTAAATTTAAAATGTAATGTATTGGCACTCCATTTTAATTTCTCGTGTTGATAAAGCTCTGATTTAATCAAACAATAAACAATGTGTCATATTTCTATCGTCATAGTTTCCGGCATTCTTTCGATGGGTCGATTCAATATAATTTCTCCATCCTGTTTGACCCCAAAATCACTTCCCTCTTTTATTTTTTCCCAACCCATTCTTCTCCTTATTCCTGGATCATCAGATTTAAAGCTTAAATTGTAAAGTTTATCTAAGTTTAAATTTAACAGATTAGCTAAATCGTTTAATTTAGACTGCATTCGACAATGGAGCTGCGATAACAAAAATAATTTGTCTAAATCCAGCAAAGAAAAATCTTATTACACAAAATTAAATCTGAAGCTAAAATTGTGTTAATTATCTTATTTTGAATCTTATTTTTAAACTAATCTGGCAAATACCATCAAAAAAATTAAATAAGTTTTGCTTTTGTCTTCAATTAAAAGAATAATTACCACGGGTATCCATGGAGGAAACAAATGGGACACTTATCCCGAGATTGAGAAAAAATTCCACTAATTTATAATCACAAAAGTTACTGAGACACGCAACCTTAAACCTTTGATCATGGGATGCTTTGTTGCAGTAGTCTACTCCCCTATACCAATGTTGATAATTCCATTTTATATGAATTCCATGTTGTACAAGTCACTTAGATTTTACAAATACATGTGCCGGGCTGTGAACGGCTCACGTATTTGTAAAATCTAAGTGACTCATACAACATGGAATTCATATAAAATGAAATTATCAACATTGTTATAGGAAGGTCAACTGTACCATATTCTACAATCTACTTGTGAAAACCCCCCAAAAAATTAAATAATTAAATAAAAATTTATTGATATATTTGTCTCAAAGCTTTGCTCCTTCTGAAAAATGTTCTGTAAATGTCCAAGATTATCACTTATCTTTATTTAATTCTTTAAAATTGAAATTTTCAACTTAACAAATTAAACTGAAATAAATCATGGTCTAATAAAACTAATTATATATCAAAACTTAAAAGAAATTAATAGACAAACTTTTGTTGTTTTAATCTAATCCATTTTAACAAAAAAAATGTTAGATTGGTGCTCTTTTTAACGCTATTTACAAAGTAATTTCTTCCTTATTCTCATGTTCACTTCTAGTGAAACGAAGATTTATAATAATGCGTGATGGCCATCTTTATTCATTTCAAAAAATAATTTTTAAAATGAGTCTTTATCATAAGTGAAGAAAAGCAGTTGAGAAAGAAATGATATTGCAAATATATTTATTTATTATACAGGACAGCACACAAAAAATTGGCCCCATACAAAATACAGTTTAGAGTTTTATTTAGTAGTAATGTACTGTACATTTGAATTACATTGGTAGAGTAAATAAACATTAATTTTAACTTAAATGTGTAAATTGTTAAAATTAAAGCTTTTTTTTTTTTTATCAGAATTTGGAAGCGGTTACCACCTGTTTCAAAGCTTTCTCTGCTTGTAAAGCATGTTGTGGAAAATGTCCTTCAGTTCGTACATGATCTCTTATAGTACGTTGGTTTTCATGTCTTCCAACATTCAAGGGTTGTTGTTGCAGCAACCCCAGAGATAAAAGTTGCATGATAAATAAGGAGAGTGGCGTGGTCATAGACCCTTACCAGTTGTCCTTTCCTGAGTAAAATCACTTTGGATTTGAGTGAGTAAATGATGAAAGGCAAGGCAAATCACTCTCTTTTTAGAAGAAAGTATAAGTGAGTTTATGTGGATCATAAAAGTATAAAATATTTTTCTTTTCATGCCAGTTTTGTGTGCACCATCCCATATTTATGCTTATTCTATTGAAAATGCTATAAATTACAATATCAAATTACACATTATCATCTACGGCTGCACTGTAGAAATGATCATCATACCAAATAAATTAATAATTAAAATATGTTATATACTAGTCTGTAATTTCCATAAAATACAATTTTAAAACTATTTTTTTTTTAATGGAAATAAGATATCATTAGTACATCAGACTATATTACATGCTATAGTGCAATTATCTGTCAGATGGTAAAAAGAATAACTTATGAATCTGCAATCTGAAATTATTGTATAATAAAGAAAATTCACACCTCTCACATTTTCCAGTGGTAATTAATAAACAAACATTTTCAGCCACATTCGGGGTTCTGCATCAGGTTAACACATTAACTGCTATCTGACGCGCTAGCAGTCGTACTAATTAGGTCTGCTCAGAGCCATACAACCGCTGGCGGTTGGAGCCAACTTTATAGATGTGCACAAGAAGCAACCACTAGGATGTAAAATGTCTTACAAAGCCAGGATAATTTAACCTTAGGTGAAACTACATTGGTTATAGAAACATCGGGTTGTCAGATGGCTCTGTACGGCCCTACTTAGTACAACTGCTGACGCATCAGATAGCGGTTAACCATTAACATGTTAACAAATTCAGGAAGTCAGACAGTGTACATGAAGCACAATGTTGAGGGAAATCAATATCCCATACAAAATGGTTCAACATGTAAAGACTGAAATAACAGAGTCTTAAGTCATCAACCAGGAGACTAACTTGGGAGTTCAGTGTGCTATAACCAACAATGTGGAAGAGCCTCAACCTCTGGACTAGTTCTTTTCCAGAACCATCTGGAAAGAACTAGCCCAGAGCAGGGCTTAAACCCGCAACCTATAATTATAATAATTTATTAAAGATTGCGAGTTCTTTCCTTCCAGATGGTTCTAAATTATTTATTAAATTATTAATTTAGATAAGAGATGGCACCTAACATCTACCTCTAGTACCAAATTACTTAGTTTCTGAAGATTCTATTAGTTCAGTTAATAAATTTTTTTTCTACTGAATTTAGGTAGTTTTAGAGTTAATTACTGTATACATCGTATATCCAATTTTTGCAGTAATTAATATTTCACAGAAATGGATCAAGACTTTATAATCATCTTGTACTTAATAAATCAAATCAATAAATTTAGGTTTCTAGATCTTTTTTTTTATATTTCAAAAAATACAAGATAGAACAATACAAAATAAAGTGCATTTCTTTATTTCAAACTTGTCATTAGATAGTGCGCAAGTCTTGTTTATCAATTGAAAGATTGGTTATGTAGATGTTGATATAAGAAAACATTTACGAAAGTGTCATGATAGTGCTTAATGATTTATTAATAGTAACACTTTTAGGTTATTTATTAATCTACAAAATATTCACTTAGATTCAGATGATAGAAACACAATACTTCCTTCTACCTGTATAAAACCTTCCAAATCTCCAGTGATACTCGTTCAAGCAAACGTTTTCGACCCTACCAGGGTCTTCATCAGGTCACCGTTATAAAAACATTTGCTTAAACGAGTATCACTGGAGATTTGGAAGGTTTTTATACAAGTAGAAGGAAGTATATTACCTCCAGTATTTGATAGGAAGTTCAGTTGTTAGAAACACAATAATAAAAAACTTATAAAACTACTTCTAGATTTAAAAAAAGGCTAATAAAATGTTATTTTTCACATTAAACTTACTTATAACTTAAATGGCTTTCCATTTCTTATATTAGAAATGAAGAGAATTAAAAATGAAATGATATAATTCGAATATTTCCAACTGTTATACCATTAATGCAAGCATATATTTATAAAGCATCCATTTACAAAATTAAGTAACTTTATGGAAAATCTGTTTCGTTATCAGGCGGAACATACTCTTGTGTTTGCCACATAAATATCAAAATGGCGTAATTATTGTCATGACCTCAGGCAGGCTAATATTAAGCCAAAAATGTTTCTTGAAAGAAAAAATTGTGCTGGAAAAGTGTGCTTAAAGGTTTGGTTAATTGAGTTATTTATGAATAAACTCATGGATTATAAACTCCTACTTGCTTACGTGGATTTGTATTTTTATTAATTTTGTACGTACAAAATTAATAAAAATACAAATCCACGTAAGCAAGTAGGAGTTTATAATCCATGAGTTTATTCATAAATAACTCAATTAACCAAACCTTTAAGCACACTTTTCCAGCACAATTTTTTCTTTCAAGAAACATTTTTGGCTTAATATTAGCCTGCCTGAGGTCATGACAATAATTACGCCATTTTGATATTTATGTGGCAAACACAAGAGTATGTTCCGCCTGATAACGAAACAGATTTTCCATAAAGTTACTTAATTTTGTAAATGGATGCTTTATAAATATATGCTTGCATTAATGGTATAACAGTTGGAAATATTCGAATTATATCATTTCATTTTTAATTCTCTTCATTTCTAATATAAGAAATGGAAAGCCATTTAAGTTATAAGTAAGTTTAATGTGAAAAATAACATTTTATTAGCCTTTTTTTAAATCTAGAAGTAGTTTTATAAGTTTTTTATTATTGTGTTTCTAACAACTGAACTTCCTATCAAATACTGGAGGTAATATACTTCCTTCTACTTGTATAAAAACCTTCCAAATCTCCAGTGATACTCGTTTAAGCAAATGTTTTTNCAATTCATAAACTGATGTATCTGAATAAAAGTAAAACAAAACCAAAGTCATAACAGAACCGAAATATGAAACACTCCAAAAATACTTTAAAAATTGCATAAATCACTTTAATTTCTAATGTTTTCAGCTGTATTTAACCAATCTTCTTCGGGATAAATTTACAAAATGAACGACAGTTGTGTTCAATAGAACAAAAAATTTAAAACATTCCAGGTTAACAGTTCAATTTATCCTGAAGAAACTGGAATGCTTTAAGTTTTTTGTTCTATTCGAATGCAACTGTCATTCGTTTTGTAAGTTTATCCTGAAGAAGGTCAGTTAAATGTTAGAAATTAGTGTTTATGCAATTTTTAAGATATTTTTGGAGTGTTTTACTATTAAGCATTGCATTTCTCGGTAGCTGAAATATGAATTTTGATACCACAATATTCTTTTTAATTTCATTTTTATTTATTTCTTTCTTTTTGACAAGGTATTTTACTATAATAATACTAGGAATTTTCTGTAAAATGAAACATACTCTGTGGCATAGAAACTAAAACTGCACAAAAAAAAAGTTTAAAACTGATCTAAATCTAAAATGAGTAATTATTTATTGAGACATTGTCACAATGTTGGGCTGCAATTTTTAATCATATTTTTAATTTATTTAAAATATATGCTCTCCATCTGAAATTAGTAGTGTCTTGCCCCTGTACACCATACTTTTCCATTAGCAATGAAGTTGTGCCAGTCATCTAACTCATTTCAGGGAAAAATTTTTCAATTGAAATAACATCATCAGTATAGAAAAATCTCAGTGATGAAATGTGAATTCTACTATACTGCATCATTCATCCATCAGTAGTGAAGGTTTTTAAAAAACAAAGATCATAATATTGGAGTACATATCAGATCAGGCACTGACATCTGTTCCCAAAAATTAAAATCCATCAGTAAATGCTTTGAATAGCGGAACATTTGGAAGTATACAAAGTAGCGATTAAAAGTGATATCATCTGATGACTTTGTTAGCCCAAAAATTGCAAATGAAGCATTGCATTTAAAATGTTTCATTTGCAAGAAGCAACTTTGGAAAGGATATTTACATTTAAAAGAATAAACAATTTGAAAAATAATTCTCAAATCTTTTTTTGTTACATCTCATATAGCATTTATTATTAAACACAAGTAAAAGTAATCAAAAATCTATCATCATCATATTCTTGTCTAAATTTATCTTTTATCATATTTGGCATTAAATTACCATAATTTTGAACTCATAGCATTATATATTATTGTTATTTATTTGGTGCAAGAGTGATCCAAGTCACTTCAGGAGAAGATTGGTCTCACCGTAGAAAAACCTTTCCTACTGATAAACCTTGTGTTTTTATACTTTGCTCTTTCTATTCTGTATTAGTATTTTTAGCTTTGTCTTCTATTAAGTGAAACTCTGCATAAGTTGGAGAGAGTTTTGTCTATGACTGAAGTTTAAAGCAACCACATAACTATTAAATGCGATTTTGTGCGTTCACAAAGAATACAAAAACAATTTTAAAATATACACTTACTGCAACAGAAAAGAGAACTAATGTCATAAAAATATCTTCCATGAAATTACATTATCAATAATGCTTACAGAACTCAAGAAAAACTGACTTGGATCACCCTTGCACTACGGTTCACAAAAAGGAATATTAAATTATACAAATTTTGAAATTTGAAAAACTTGCAATAACTATTTTAAATAATAGTATTTAACTATCTTTAAATTAAAATCTGTTTACTTCAAAATAACTTGAATTAAACTATTTTGAAATAATCTAAAAAGAGGTTTAAGATACCAGTTGCCATTTCAAGTACGATTTGTTCAATCAAAACTTTCTTAAATATTTAAATACTTTTATTAATAACAAAGATTAAACATATATGCGCAAAGGAGTATGAAAGGAATAACTGCCCTTATATAGTAAATGCAGAGAAAATATGCAGTTTAAAATAGCAGTGGCTATTATTTGAATGAAACTGATATATAAGCATTCTACTGATATGTCAGATTCATTAAGCACCATTAAAAAAATTTACTTAAATATAGAATAAATGTTATTCTTGTTTTTATCAGGCATTTCTGTAATTTTTTCATTATCTCCACTAATAGACAGCTTGGTGTAAGGTTATACTTTCATATTTTATTATGTTCATTAGATGTGCACTTTAAGGATGGACATCCAAAGCAGATTTTCCATTCGGCTACCAATATGGCAGCCAATAATGGTGAACCAAAAGCCACCAGCTTGTTTGAGAAGAAAATTAATCCAAAAGAAATGCAATTTATATCCTACTTGTGTTCTTATATAATTTTTATATTAAGTAAACTAAAATAAAAATCTACTGGAACATGAATAACTCAAATAAATCCAACCTTTATCTATCCACCAATAAATATTTAATAACTTAAAAATGTTTTTGACTGTTTTTAACGGTCTTCATCAGTTAATTGAACATTAAAATAGAACATATGGAATAAATATGAAAAATCAAAACAGAAATTGCACATGTGTAGATACAAAATAAAATGCACATGAGGATTACTTATAAATAATAAGGTAAAAATAAAAATAAAGATAACAAAAATAAGGCTGCAACAAGGAAAAAACAGAATGACCTCCAGGTATTAACGCATATTATTGTAAAAAAATTTCCACGCAGTGGATAATGTGTCTGCATCTCTATGATTAATGCAACCTGTTCACATATGCACCTTGTATATCTCTAGTCTCTCAAGATGCCTCACTGCATGTCTGTTGGTCACAGTTCTGATAATGAATGCTTGATCCCAAAAGACGTTAACCTCTTGCTGTTTGGCGAATGATGCTAGAACAGTACTATCCAGGCTGTTATAAATGGAGTATCTGTGCTCTTTGATCCTTTGTTGTAACTGCCGCATAGTTGCCCCTATAAGAACCAGGTCAGAACCAAAGCATTGGTCTTTTAAAGGTATGGAATAAAACCCCCATCAAAGAATTCTGGTTCTCTTTCTTCTTATCATTTCTTAACAATCTGTAAATTGTCAGATTACGCCAATAAACGATTTAAAGATTATTAATGTTAGCAAGATCCTTATGCATTTTGTTTAAAAATGGAAAATAATTGAGGAGAATTTGTTCACTTTGGGAGAATGCTGACATTGATTCTGGAAAGATGCAATAAACTTCTCTATCTCGCTTCTCCGGTATCCTTTTTTACAATAATATGCATTAATACCTGGAGTTCATCCTGTTTTTTCCTTGTTGTGGCCTTATTTTTATCTTATCTTTATTTTTACCTTATTATATAAGTAATCCTCATGTGCATTTTATTTTGTATCTACACATGTGCAATTCCTGTTTTCATTTTTCATATTTATTCCATACGTTCTATTTTAATGTTGTTTTTTAATGTTCAATTAACTGATGAAGACCGTTAAAAATGATCAAAAACGTTTTTAAGTTATTAAATATTTATTGCTGGATAGATAAAGGTGGGATTTATTTGAGATTTTTATATTAAATTAACTAAGAAATGTTTGTTTAAATGCACTTAATAATAATTGTAATGTACACGTATCCCTTGCTTAATGCGGGATTTGATCAATGTGCAAAAAAATTAATTGCGGCAATCTCTTTCATATACACGACAGTAGTTTTAATTTAAATGGCTTTACCAGCTGTCTTTACTTAACATAGATACCATATTTTGATTAATGTGATTTTGTTATATATGGTAGCATCAAGAGATTAATTAACCACATTAATCAAGAGATACCCATATTATCAAATCCTTAAAATACAATTTTAGCTTCTTATCTAGTTAACTAAACATTATTATTTTAACAAATTTTATTTGAAAACTTCCAAACTTAAACAATTCATTACAGTGTACTTAGAACAATGTACACTTTGCTTTTGCAATGTACACTTTGCAATTGCTTTAAACTTTCTTGTATGTAATTTTACATTTGTAAATAAAAAGCTGAATTATTTAAAAACGTAAGACACGACAAGTGGAATCTTCCGAACACGTAAGGAGATGTTCTTTATCATTAGATATTTCCATATCTAAAACTTCTGCTTCATGACATTGCCAAGATCTTTCCATCTCTCCAGATCTGCCATCATACAGCCTAACTACACCATCTAATCCAGCAGTATAAACTAGAGATAAAGCATCATCCCATAACAACTTTGAAATTCCAACATTTTGATGACGCTTCATTCTTTGCACTTGTGTAGGAATATCCCATATTTCTAACGAACCACGAAGAGTTGCAGTTGCAGCTAATGGATTAACTTGATTAAAGGCAACACTTTCAACAGCTTCGTCGTTATTATCATCCCCACACTTAAAAGTTGCTAACACTCTACCCGTATTAGAATTAATAAGTTTTGCTGTAGCATCCGTCGATCCACTCATAACCAGAATATTATCTTTATAGTAATCGACAACAGTTATACGTTCCTGATGAGGGCTCTCGGTAGCAGCATTAACTACCGAAGCATCCCTCAAGTTCCAAATCGAAACTTTTCCATTTTCATAACCGGCAACTGCTCTGTTTCCATCTACTAATATTTTCCCACATTCGTTACTGGTACCGTGACTGGGGAAAGTTTTACACTCTCCGGACGGTATGCGCCACATCCACATTTCACCTTCGCCGGTTCCGGCTAACAGTACGTTAGCGCAAGGATGCCACTGCAGCCACCGTAACTCCGACAACTCGAAATCCCATACTTTCTCGCCGTTCTCGGTTTTCCAAACTTTAACCATTCCCGACATGTCTCCGGTTGCAACGAGAGTGCCGTCGTGATTGAAACCCGTAGCAATAACGGAATCATTGTGACCGGAGCATTCAAACTGCACATCGCCAGTTACGTAATTCCAGACATATCCTTTATCATCCTCTCCTCCGGTGACACAATTCCTGCCATTATTTGGATGGAAGGCGCCACAAAAAACAGCTTGTGAATGTTTAAGGATTACTCCAGGAACTGTTACGACAGCAGCAGCAGAAGCAGCAGCAGGTGACGTCGATGCATCCCCGTCATTTGATTGGCCAGGCTGTTGATCGTCATCCGAATCTACATCTAAAATTTCTATATCTTCATCATCTGATATGAAGATGATGTCGTCATAATCATCACTATTCATATTGGGCGGCGATGGAGTATCGTTATGCATATTTACGTTTATACGACCGTCAATTAATTGAAAATATATAAATGAAGAATTAAAAATATAATAATTTCTCTTTTATATAATTAACTACTATAATTTACAACTCCACGCTTCTAACATTTGCTCACCTTCACAGTTGCCGTTATCCTCCGCTAGAAGCGCTAAAATCGGTTGTCTTCATCTTATGAATCAGAACTTGCTTTTACTGAAAAAAATAATAATAATAATTTTTGTAAAAGTGCAAAAAGTCTTTATTAAAATATTTTTTTATTTACAAAAAAATATATGAATTTATTATTATGATTAATATAGCGATAATCTGTAATTTAAAAAATACTTATATTTTTAAATTCCTTCCACCCAGTGTGCTGTAAGAGGCGGCAGTATGATCGGCACTTGTGCAGTTTAATTAAGGAGTACGGTCTTTTGAAAGGTTTTCTTTTATAAAATTAATAATTTCTAAACTAATGTGACTCGAACATTTTCAAAACACATATAATTTATTCGAATAATCCATATAAAATATGCTAGAAATAAAAAATTGTAGGAATACTTACCGAGTGCGCATCATTCGGAGACCCCTTGCTTATGCTTGTTTTCGTCGCGGAGCGGCACATCAGACGGCGGACGCGTACGAAGGAAGAAAACCTTTCAAACAGCCGTACCAACGCCACCTAGGAATATATACCAGGTATATGAAATAAAATAAAAATTGTTTTCTGTTAATCTTTGTAATATTATCTGTAAAACCAGTATAATAAGTCCTGATAATAGAAGATACGAATTTATAGTCGAAAATTTACATATTAATAAGAAAAAAGAACACTGAGGCAATTTAATTAGCCAACATATATTTTATAGAATCTTTTTAGTCGTTGCTATAATCTCATGGAAAAAGTAAACAGAAAATTTTTAAAAGGTCTGTGGTGGGGAACCTATGACCTGCGGGTCAGACACTGACCCAAGCAGACTTTTTAAATTACCCACGCGTTGATTTTTATATACTTATTTTCGTTTTATCGCAAAACGGGGAGATGTACCAGTGCTGAACTAAATGGCAGCCTTGTCGTACGCATCTAGAAATGTTTAATAATTCAACATTATTATTTTTTTATTATTATTAAACTTTCTCATTTACATATGTATAAATATCAAGTACATTAATAAGAAATTTCTTCTCAAATTATTGTATTCTAAATACTGTATAAATATTTTTTAGCTGTAGCCCTGTCGGCTGTTAAAAAAATAAAAAACGATACAAGTTCCAGACCATATCAAACAGAATGGCTTGATAAATATGCTGTGATTGAAAAGAATAAAACGACTTTGTGTTTAATTTGTAACGAAAGAGTCACTTCACGTACTGTACTGTACATACAATGTAAAAAAATATTTTGAAAAGTTGCATTTTAACTGCAAAGCCTTTCTTATTTTACAGTCGACCCCCTATAACACTGTTGATTTTTCCGTTTTATATGAATTCCATGTTGTACGAGTCACTTAGATTTTACAAATACGTGAGCCATTCACAGCCCGGCACACGTATTTGTAAAACATAAGTGACTCGTACAACACGGAATTCATATAAAACGGAAAAATCAACAGTGTTATAGGGGGTCGACTTGTATTATTTTGCCATTTAATTCCCCGTGTTGACACGTTTCCAAGGGCTGTTATTTGATCAGAATTGAAAATTAATTTTATTTTTGTACTGTTGTGTGTTGACTCTAGACACTAATTTTCTTATCTCTTCATAGAGATCCTTCTTACTTTTCTGCACTCTTTTAACTCTATGTAACGCATTATGCAATTGAGATTTCAATTTATTAATCTGTTTTGATTTTGGTGGCAGTGGCTGGCTGACAAAATTTTTACTGGAGTCCCGAAATACTGGAGCAGATGTCTCATTATCTTCATTCGTGCTTTTACATTCTTCACCATTTTCTTCAAAAAGAAACAAAGTATGCAATAAAAAAATAGAATATTTCAAATTTATATTATAAATTTACCTGTACTGGGCCGCATAGATGTCATAACAGATAAATTTGTAGCATAACTGTGGTCCAAGGTCGGATCTATACGCTCACTATTGTTTCTATGCACTGTTTTTGGTTCACAGCATCTTCTCTTAGGTGCAGGTCTGAGAGAAAAAAGTAGGCACGGCATCACGCTTCAGCAATCTTCTTCCATCCTTCCTGTGATCCTTATACTGATCTTTCTCAAAATGAACCTATGAGACTTAATTGTAAATACAGTATACACATTTCACTAAACCAATGTACTTATAAAGGGTAAAATGTATTAACAGACTTAATACACTTTAGCCTTAGTTTATTAATGTGCAATGTATAAATAGGTAGACAAAGCAAAAGTCCTCTCATAAAAATTCTGATTTTTACCTCACAAAGTAATGCATGTTTTCCAGGAATTTATAATTTTTCATTTTCATCCAGTCTGTTTACTTTAATCGCCCATGTTTTTTTCCCTATCTTAAATCACTAGGAAATCGATGCAGTTTGAATTTAGGAGCTCTATTTAAGCAATTAATAGCAAGATTGCGGCCGAACTTTTCATCTCTCAAACGTGAACGTGGAACGTCGAGCGCCGCTATCTTGTAAGCGGCACTCGACGTTCGACGTTCGCGAAAACTTCAGCCGCAACCTCTCTAATGGCTGAACAACCCGGCATGATCTATTTTTAGATGGTAGCTTTAAGAGCGATATAGATGTATCGACAGATCTAAACGCTAAAATAATGATTTTTAATGTCAGTATAGCAAAGTAAGAGCTAACTCAATGTTTAGAATCTATTTTAGATCGGAATTACCTGGTGTATAAAGTTTCCAATTCTGTTATTTATCGTAATAACTAGCTGATTGACACTCACTTGTCATAAGTGAATCAAATGCCGGCCTCATAACGGCATCCATAAACCATGTGATAGGCAGTAGCCGATTGGCTACTGCCTATCACGTGGTTTATATTTTGACCCCCCAGTTGACCATACTCTGTTTATACAGAGCTCTATCCTTAAGAATTGGCAGTTTCCCGATTGTCCAGCTTTACACGAACAAGTTATGCTTTCAATTTTAAAACATATTTTGTTAAAGTTTAAAATGCCAGTAATTTTCTGTAGGACACAGGGTCGGATTTAAGCATTTCGAAGCCCGAAGCTGAACTTTGTAAGGCCCCTTACGAACCCTTCACAATTTTAGAAGTCAATCATAAAACGAAAAGAATTAAATCAGACTATGACTCTGATTTAACAGTCTAATCTAGGAATCCTCAAACTTTTTATCCTGTCGACCCCTTTATAGAATACTAGTATCTAGGGACGCCCCCTAGTGGGTGCTTTTTTACAAATTTCCATGAGGCACGGTTCCTTTGACTTTTTTGTTCCTATCAATATGCTCTACAGCTCTGTTAAAGTCCGAGTGGTAAGATTTACCCTCCAAATGAAGAGGTGGCGACCCCCCAAACCGTAGACCCCTGTACTAACAATAAAGTCAAAGGAACCATACCCCTACTCGCGACCCTTCGAGAGATATAAGCCCCTGAAATAATAAATTCTTATTACAAATATACTGAATTATTTATATTGTTATATTGACCAAATAATAATTTATTGGCCAAATAAATAATAATTTATATTGTTAATTTAAATAAAAATTAAAATTGTTAATTTGAATGTTTGAAATATGACTCACGATAGGGGCGCCTCTAGTGTCCGTTATCAAACGGTTACGGTACAGACACCCGTTGAATGGGTTATATATATAGATTTGCCTTCTTATCGACCCCCAGATTAAGTATTTAACAAAAACATTAAATAATTTTTGCATTTCTGATGTTAAGCGATAAGGAGACCCGCATAACAACCCAACAAAAAAATTTATAGTTCTCATCTATATATATATAAAAATGAATGTATGTCTGTCTGTCTGTGTGTGTGTCCTTCATGCATTACCACACCGTTTATCCGATTGCCATGAAACTTTGGGAAGTTGTTTAATATACTCCAGCGAAGGTTTGTGGTGTAGTACGATTGCCATAAAGCTTTGGAAAGTTTTTTAATTTTTAAATACACTCCCGCGAAGTACATTTATCCTACGATAGATGGCGCGCGTTTACACGAGCATTCGCGCAGTGTGTTCGATCGATTTCAAATTGTGGAGACCATTCCCCACCTTCAAAAAATATCTCTATATATGCATTTGTGAACTGTTATTTTTACGATATTTATAATAATTTTTTTTAATCACTTTGATTGTTGCTGCTTCCCTCGTGTTACATAATTTTTTTTTAACCGAAAGCAGCACAACATACTGTCCAACAGGTTTTGTCGACACAGAAGATTCGGATCATTCAGTCAATCTGGGACAATGGCGTGATGAGCAAAAACACTTACATAAATGTGGTTGGCAAAAATCTAACACATATAGTTGTGACGCAAAAGTGTTACGTGACAAACTTGCACAATATTTATGTACTGAAGGTGCCGTAGAATGGCAAGATAGCTGTGTTTATCGAGGCCTTGGTTAAATTTGTATAATGTAAAAATATTTGTAAAAAATTTTGTTTTGTATATATGAAAGTAATGGTTTATAAACATGATTTATTTTAAAAGTATATGCTAAATGATTTACTTATTGTGTTGTTTATGTATTTCTTTTTTCAAACATAAAAATTCAGTGTTT